CAGTGCACTTTGCAGAACTGCAGCTAATCGCCTGCTAAAACAACTCCAGCCCTGCACCCAGATGATCTGCGGGACTGTGAGAGGGGCTGTGAGCAGCCACAACACTGGGAGAAGGGGCTGTGCCCAGCTCCCACCCTCATCTTTGGCACTACACTGTTCCGAGAGCTAAAATGTTGGCACTTTAAATGGCATTGTTAGGTACGTCACAGGTGTTTTGCCTTTGATGCTGTTTCTGGTGCTCTTTGCACACATCCAGGGCCTGAGAGCACGTGGTGATGTCCCCAGAATGTGAGCTGGTGCTCAGCCCTGAGGAAGAGCTTGCCTTACAATGCCTCATGTAGTCTGGTGCAGTCAACAAAACAAGACAAGGCATCCCACTTTACAGTGAGAATGCTGAGTAAATTACATGAACAGAGGCATGAAATTTCAGTAAGAGGCCCCAGCTACCAGCTTTGTCTAAGAGTCATAGATCACTATGTCCAGCTTAATAGGGCTGTTCTCATCAAGGGAAAAAAGACCAACCTGGGGCTGAGATGACATGTGGAGCTTTTTAACCCGTGGCAGCTTATCAGCAATCTGCTCCTTGCTTCCGACAGGAAAAACCTTCAGCATCTTTAGGGGAAATGACTTAAGGGAACATCAGTGTCAGCACTAATAATCAAATGATGAAGGGCTTTTTTCACAGCATCACTAGCACAGAATTTTGTTTTAACCTCATTGGCCATAATGAAAGAAATATCCTGAAGTCTGCACAAGATACATCCCTTGGGCATTGCCATCAAGTCAATGAATTTCTATAAAAAGATTAACTGGGACAGTTGTAACATGTCTGTATTCCCATGCTAGATCACTAATTACCTCCATTTGTTTTCCATAATGGACTTCAATCTCAGTGGAGGTTTTTTTGCCACGAACATTTTTCTCACTTGCAGCAATTGCAAACCCACATTCACATTTGTCCCTCCAAGGGCAATGCTGTCTTTTTCCCATTTTTCCAGCCCTCAGGCCTGTGAGGCAGTGTCTACCACACCAGCTCATGCAATCACTCCTGGAACCAAGTGGATCCTGTACTCAAACAAAACGAATAAGTCTTGCACTCATTTATACCCCGAAAAGTCCAAAGGGATTTTAATGAGCACAGTGGAGACTTGGGTAAGCACTGGGTGTTGTTTTTTTTTAAGATTTTCACAGCTGCTTTCAGCACCTGCCAAATTACCCAGATGTTGCAGTGCTATATTCTGTGTGGTTCAGACTCCTTACAGAGCAGGCTGGTTCTCAGTCCTTTTCTCACTCTTTTCAATAACTGCTGGTTTAAAAAAGCTGCATGTGTGATTTTGAAACAGTGGCGGATTCATAAGGGCAGGAACTTGCTGTGCCCTGGAAGACCTGTTGTTGCTGTGATGGGGATGAGGAGAAGGGAGCAGAGGGGCTGCGGAGCTGCCTGGCTCATGCAGACTCCATCACTTGTTTTTTCTCCCCCCCGCATCCCAGGCAAACCCACCTTTGCTCCCTGCTTCCCTTTTCTTATTATTGAAGTCTCGCGGATTTCTTCTTTTAAATTACATTTTTAGAAACTCCACCTCCTCTCAAAAGCAAACTGTTACTTCTCCTATCATATTAGTGCTTCTGTCTTCTCCTTACCCAAGAATCATTTTTGGTATCATTTTTTGAGCGCACTTTTGGATCATGCTATCACAGGATTGTATTTATTTTTTAAAATTTTCTATCAAAAATGAATGTAAGTCATTAATTGATTTTTCTACTATTCTTTCTGAAGAACTAAATGAACCTGTAGTCGCACAGTTGCCTAGCAATACAGGCAAAGAAACGCAGCACACAGAATACATCCTGGTTTAAAAAGTATTAAAAAATCAATGGCAATGACAAGCTAGCATGTAGTTATGAACAAAGGTTGATAAGTGGTGTTTTCAGGAAAGAGGTTGGTGTCATTTGGCCTGGAAACAAAGCACCAGTGAAAGAACACTGGTACCTAACATGCAACCCACCAGCTCAGTGGGGAGAACTGAAGACACTAGCATTAATCAGGATGCTGGGGTTTAGGGTAATATATCAGCTAAGCTGATCCTCAATACCAACTTTTATCATATGAGACATCAACAATATAATCCAGTGACGTGTCTCAGATGTATGGCAGTGAAACTGTGCAGTGTGCAAAAGAAAAGGGAAAAAACTGACTAGTACATGATAGTGCAGAGGACGTGACATCGTTGTGTGGAGAAGTGTTTCCATAATGAAAGGGAATTGAGGAATCTAATTTGTCTTTATCTGCTTTGGCACACGGAGCTGTGCTGTGCCTAGGGACACACTGTGCTGAGTGTCTGCCCAGTGCTTCCAGAGACTCAGAAACCCAAATATACACCGCCAGACAGGAGCGAGGAGCTCCATCTGCCAGCACAATGCAGCTGCAAAGTTTAAAACTTGTATAAAAAGCCTCTGCACTCACCCAAAAACTTCACTGAAGGGCTTCAAAGGGAAGGAGAGCTTTGAGCCGACTAAAAGTACCTAAAGCTACGGCTATCTTGGCAGGTGCCATAGTGCAGCTGGAGCAGAGTGGAGTGAAGAGCAAGGGAAATGGAGCTGGCATTCACACCATGCATTTGAGGGGGCTGCATTAGATGAGTGACTGCCCCATGGTGTCTCAGCACTGGCTGACAGCTGCAAGGCACATGAAGTGGAGAGCAGTTCTGGGACGAGCATCATTTGAAATGAAGGCTCATTCACTTGGCTTCGTGGCATGAATCAGAGAAATGGAGACCAACTGCAGTTTAAAAACGCATTTGGAACACAAACCAAAAATGCTGAGATGGGCACACGCTGGAAGGGAGGTTTTGGGTGCACAGCCAGCATCCCAGAGACTACTGACCATTCACATGTGTCCAAGGAATTTCCCGAGGGCATCAGGAAGGGATGACAAAATGCTGGTGTGAAGAGGAAGATGAGAAGATGGCATTACTTTCTGCCTCCCTTCTCCCTGGAGTGCGCTGAGATGGGTGGGTGGAAGAGCAGACTGTGCATCCTCCTCTTCCCCAGGGGGGAATGAGCCCCCATTTACTGCCTGCTTGGAGGATGCTAAGATTGTCAAAAGCTGGAGGATATCCCGAAGTGCAGCTCTATTGATGTGTATTACTTTGAATCAATGAATATTTCATTACTGGAGAGAGAGAATCTGAATCAATAATTCAGGAGTAAGGAAAAGGAAAGAGCTGGGTTTGAGTCACTGCTAGAGGATACATTTCACTTTAAAGCACTTAAACTCTGTGGTTTCTTCAAAAACCACCTTAATTACAGGCACCTACAGTCTCTTCAATGAAGTCCTAAAGCCACTAATACTCATCAGAGTATTAAAACCATCCTTTGTGCCCATTAATCTAATCAACAAGCAAAATTTAACATATGGCTTCAAACCAGGATTTTCTGTTGCCTTGAGTAGCTGTGAGAATAGAAAACACCAAAATGCTGCTCAGAGGAAGAGAGAAGAGAGAGAAAATTGTGTTAGGAAATACTGGGAGAGGAAAGTGCAAACTGGCAATAATTAAAAGATACTGAAATAATTGAAATAATTGCCATGAGATAAAGATGCAAGTAGGGAAGCATGGGGTGTACTTGTAGCAGGAATAACATTCCTGTTCTAATTTCATTTTTAACTGAACCTTGATGAAAAAAGGAGATAAAGGATTAGTGATACAGAAAAAAAACAAGCCTATTTTTCTAATGAAACAAAACTGGTTGATGCTTCCAAAGCATAAAATTCCATCTGGAAGTACCTGGAATGTCTGTAATGTGAAAGAGAGTAAAATAAACGAATGCTGCCCAAATCACAGTTATTTGCATGAAAGCACTGGTTACAATCATTTATTACTTGAAAAAAAAAAAAAAATAGTTTTCAAATTGTTCAAATGCCTTTTTTCCAAAAGCACACATTTTCAAACCAACACTTTCTGATACGGGAGTTGTAATGCCTTTATCGCAGAAAATATTACAGGCAAATTTAAAATGTGTAAAGTGGTGGTATCAGAATGAAGCATTTTATCTCACTGCTCTAATTTTTTTTTTTTTTTTAAATTGCAGTTATTTTGCTTTTGTCCTCAGAAATTGCACAAAATATTTTCCTAGCATGCTCCCTTCCCTTGTGGTAACCTGTACAAGAAGAGCAATGTGCTCTGCTATTCTCAGCAGCAAAACACTGATGGACATCAGCACTCAAAATAATTCTCCTATCCTACGGGGAAGAGCTTTCTTAATATTTTGATTTTAGGTACATGAATTAATATTGCTCACATGCACAGGAGCAATAACAGCTTTTGCAGTCTCTTTCTAGAACCTGCATTGCTGTGAGTGCTCGTTTGTCCAATAAGTAGCAGAATGGAGACTGGAATATCTCCTCTCATCTCCTCAAAGAATAAAAGATGGCCCGAGGTGTGTTCACTTTGGTGTACAGGACTGACCAGGCATAAGTAGGTTAACTTCAAGCTGACAGGGTGAGTTTGCTTATTAAATAATTAAGTATGTGAGTAAAATCCTGACAAAATTCCTGCTAACTTCAGCAGCATCTGGATTTCACCCCAGGTGCTTTCAAAGGATACGCATTTCTTTTTGCAGTGAAACAAAAGGCAACAAAAACCAGACATTAGGTTTCTCAGTTTTTGAAGCAGATGCACTTGGGCCCTCACCTACTTCTTCTCCAGGATTATCATTTATCCACTCCTGGTGGAAAAGCTGGAGGCCTTAACAGAAGGCAAGGAGTTGGAGGAGAAGGTGCAGAAGTGCTGAAGGACCAGATCTCATCTCTAAGGGGAGGCCTGAAGGTGTACACAGGTGTACATTAAGTGTACATACATCTCACCTTGTCTCTCCAAATGGACAAGCTTTAAACTAAGAGAACAAGACCAAAAAAGGTCCAGCTATCCAGCACTCTCTGAGACTTTCCCAGCTCCTTCAGCATCCTATGCTACCAGCAACAGAGGCTGCCTTGCAGGTGATGGGAGCGGTACATCCCCAGGGTCCTGCCTGCTTCTGCAGCATAACTGCACTTCTTTTCATGTATTTTCGGTGGCATTCCTTTGCAGATTCATTCACGGGACTCATAAACATAATGACTGACATCATCTGGCGCTACACAGGAGATTTCATGGCTCCTGACATCGTCTGCAGAGTCGTCCGCTACTTACAGGTACAGGACCACGTGCTCTCCTGCATGTCTGAGCTCAGCCTAACCAAATGCTGCACAGATGCTCTGCTTCCACCAGAACTGCTAAATGCTACCAGTAGTCATTTAACGTTTAAACGCATTTTATTTCAAACATAGTAAGTCCTTTACCTCTTACAGACCACAAAAAGGTCTGGGTGAAAATATAAGTCTAACTGTAAGTCTTTTTTTGTCCGTTTTAAGTAGTATAAGTTTTCATATATTCCTAAAGCTGTGTTTTATCTGGCACTGATTTCTACAGTAAACATGCCTCAACTACTTTCTTCTGTATCTTCTGCTCTAGGTGGTCCTCCTCTATGCTTCAACCTATGTCCTCGTGTCACTGAGCATAGACCGGTATCATGCCATAGTTTACCCCATGAAGTTCATGCAAGGAGGTAGGAGCATCTGCATACCTTGCTACTGCCATGGATAGTATTGACTAGCTTCATTTTGCTGAGAAAAGTTTCAAAATTATTAACCCTGTTCCCGTGAATTATTAATTCCTGCTGGACTCTGTTACCATTCTCTGAATGGCAAAGGAGCTGTGATTTCCAGATTTATTAAACTGCACTTAGCCTTCAGCAGTTTTTATAAGCATTGTGTTTGCAAAGAATGAAATGACATTTTAAAAGCACAAGGTTTTCATTATCTTCCAGCATTTTGAGAAAATTATTATGGGCAAAAGGTATCCCTTACAGCCACACTGACTGTAGGAGCAGCAACGGCTTTATTACCTGTATATTCACATGAAAAAATAATTTGGATAGAATGCAGTATTGAGAATTGATATGACAGTTTGATGTGAACTTCAAAAACAATAGCAACTAAGTTTGGACATTGATTCTATCTTAAAATTTCTTCAATTTGTCATTTTTGCAGCACTCAAATACACCTTGTATGCTTAGCGACACAATTTAAAGAACACGATTTCTTTCCTACGCAGCTTAAAGTCTGAAGTTATGTATGTTGCACAGGGGGAATAAATAGCAATAGCAGCAGGGGGGAAGGGGATCGGTTACAAAAGAGATGGCTGAAAAATGCACTTCAGTCAGGGAGAAATACCATTCTTACTTTGGACAAATGACGACTTCTGACAGCCTGCTCTATTTGGGGGATCAGAATAGTGGTCATCTTTGGCCTTACAAAGCTGTAAATCCATCACAACCCAGGCAGTGTTGCACCTTTGGCAGATGTTAAAGCCTGAAAGCTTCAAATGATTGTGTGAAGTTCAGCCTAACATCCCCCAGCCCCCAGGCTGGCTTTTTCAGAGTGGGAGGATTGCTAGCAAGCCTTTATGAGAGGCTTTTGGGTGTGCAGTGCATGCTGCAGCTCCCACCAGCCTAGGGTTCCCAAACCACCTGGAGCCAAGCAGCCCAATGGCATTTCTTCTTTACAGCACCTCCTGGGCTTAGCAAAGAGGTTGTAACAACAACAACAACTCTATAAGTGCTTTTCTTTTTTTGTTGCCATGGAAAATTTGCTAGTTTAAGAACAAATTGCATGCAATATTTTTTTTTTATTCTCACGGGAAGAGTGCTTTCTTTTATGTGATGCAGGCTCCATTAAACTGTTCCTACACTTGGTGGGGTGCAGAATATCTCAGTCCTAAGAGATCTCAGTACTCATCCTTCTCCACCGCAATGCATGTTACCCCTCATCTGTCCTACAGCGTGCAGAAGCACAGCATTCCTCCACCACTCAACACAGGATGGCCAGAGACTGAGATGCAGTTCATTATATAACACAGGGATAACGGGTCTGGGATGGCTGGAGGAGTGCATCTGTTTCCCCTCATCACATTTACTGAAGCCCAAGTGGTTCAGGATGCTTTTCTAAGATTGGCATGCTCATCTTGATGAGCACCCTGATGAACACCACCTGCTTCCAGCAGGGCTGGTGCCATGGACAGATGTCTTTCATGGAGCCAAAATCATGTAACCAGCTGTGTATGTTCAGTGTGAAAAAGGAGGCAGTGGTAAATTCATAAGAATGCCTAAGAAGGCATGTTCATCACAGAAACTTCCTGGAATACATACATGCACACATTAACCTTTTGCACTTAGCTGCTCCAGGCAGAGCTTTCCTGTGTGCAGCTCATAGGAGTCTTGTAGAAGAACAAAATGATTTACAAAACTTTGTCACTGGTGATGACCCAGATGCTGTCAAAACAGCTCTGAGTCAATCAGTGGCCACTAGCACGTGTTGTTTCTTTTCAGAGTGAAATGCTCATCCTTCAAAACCCTTCAGTCAAGAAACAAATGAGTTGTTTACCCTTTTCACAGAATCACACAATCACCAAGGTTGGAAAAGACCCACAGGATCAGCTAGTCCAACCATCCACCCATCACCAATAGTTCTCACTAAAACATGTCCCTCAACACAAAATCCAAACCTCCAGGGTTGGTGACTCCACCACCTCCCTGGGCAGCCCATTCCAGCACCTGACCACTCTGTCAGAAAAGTAGTATTTCCTAATGTCCAGCCTAAATCTCCCCTGGTGAGTCTCAAGTTTCAGATATTACATTCACCTATAGCTTTGAAAATATTATTTTGGGAAAAAAAATAAGGTCAAACATTTTCTTTAGAAAGTGTCAAACAATTTTGTACTTCATTTCTTTAATTATGTTTAATTCCTAACCACGAGTTATGTTAAAAAAAAAAAAAAAAACATTGAAAAAAGCTGAGTTCTTAAAGGCTTCTAAAAAGATAGATTTGGACAGTTAAATATTTCATACTCACTTTGCAAATACATAATTGACCACAGAAATTGCAAGATGGAGAACAACTTTCTATACTATATATACTTTTTAATCCCAGCACTGCTCTATTCTGCTCTATGAGGCACCAACCAACCAAATCATTAAAAAATGTGAAGTTTGCAGGCTCAAAGAGAAGAAACTGAGAAGTTACATCAGAACACATTACAAAAATATTTCACCATTTTGAGAAGATGTGTATGACCAGTGTGCCAACTGACCAACAGCAGTCAACAGAACTGCTTAAATAAAAGGCAAAATGTAAGCAGATCGAAACTGTCCCATTTGTGGTGTTGGGATGCAAAGACTGAGGTCCATTAGATCCCTGAGATCCTGGAACAGTTCTCTTCAGATTTAAAAAGGCACTTTCTTGGAGGAAGGATTGCACAGCATCGCCATTCACAGTAGCAGGGAGCAAAACTCTGACCAGGAGGTGCCTCCCCACCAGATGTGGCTAGGGGCAGGCAGAGGTACACAAAGCCAGTGTGGATGAAGGAAGAGAAACAAAAGAGACCGAGACTGCATCCAAAGAGGATGGCCAGCAGGGCAAGGGAAGTGGCTGTCTCCCTCCTTTCTTCTCCTAGGAAGATGGGCAGACAGAGCTGGGCTTGTTCAGCCTGGAGAAGGCCCTTGGGAAATCCCATTGTAGCACAGCAGCACCTCGAGGGGAGCTTATAAAAAGGAGAGGGGCTGACTTTTCACATGGTCTGCTAGAGATAAGACAAGGGTGAAAACTCTGAACTAAAAGAGGGGAAGTCTAGCTTAGATGTTAGGAAGAAATTCTTTACACAGAGGGTAGTGAAGCACTGGCACAGTCTGCCCAGAAAAGCTGTGGTGCCCCATCCCTGGGGGCATTAAAGGCCAGGTTGGATGGGGCCCTGGGCAGCCTGAGCTGGTGGGTGGCAGCCCTGCCTATGGCAGGGAGTTGGACCTGGGTGAGCTTTAAGGTCCCCTCCAACCTAAGCTATCCTGTGATTTTATGGTTCTGTGAAAAGGACAGTTGTGAGAGCCAGTAAGCAGAGCTTATGGCAGATTCCTGCTAATGCTGGGTGTTGGTTTTGAACGTTCGAGTATGGAAAACTCCCAATTTAAAGTTCAATATCATTTTGAAAGGAAAACACAGGGCAAATAGAACATTATACAGAATGTTATACGGAGTATTAGAAATGTGTTACTTATTTGATTCCATTTATAACTCAGATGGTCTAGTTATATCATTTGCCAGCATTTAGAGCATTTACAATAAATAAATAAACTGCTTATGAGGCAGCCAATTAACATTAATCCAATAAAATAAAAATCTACCCAGATGCTATCATTGCTCTGCAAAGCTTTTGAGTCTAGCAAGGCCATGTTTTATCAAACACAAAAACAAAAATCAGTGAACATTGTAGCTAATATTTTATAAAACACAAAAATAAAACAACTCTATTGCCAAACCCAAGCTGCCTACTTCTTGTCAAATTAAGGGTGTACAAAATGTAAGATATGTTATCTAACTGTGACCTTTCCACCTTAGAAACAGACTTGTGGGTCCCATTGAGGCTTGTGTGCATGCCATTCGGGTAGCTTGCTCACAATCTAAAGCCCTTTCTGTCAGGAAATATTTTGTGGAACTCTTTATTGCTCACAATCTAAAGCCCTTTCTGTCAGGAAATATTTTGTGAAACTCTTAATATTCCTTTTGCTAAGTTTATTCTGTTATGCTTTGGGAAACTTCATGGTTCTCCTCTTCCAGTGCAATATTTATAGACTTAATCTAACCCTCTCACTTATGTGGTTGTCATCAGAGTTCTCCTAAGCCCAAGATTAGAAGGACTATATTTTGCTGAATGTGGGCAGCATTCAGGATATGAGCATGAGCAGGATAAATGAATATTTGCAACCGATGTTTTATAAAGCATAAAATTACTTTTAAAATGCTTCTCCCACATGCTTTCATATTGCTCTTTGAGCTTCAAAGAAGAAAGTCATACTTTTTCATATCCATAATTTAAAGTGATTTTCTATTTCACATATTCCAGGTATTCACATATTTCCAGGTATTTTGTAGGCAGGCTGGACAGTAAAGTGTTTCAACACTCAATCTTCTCAGATCAAAAATCTGTCCTCATCTGCTCCTCTAGCAATCTGACTCTGGAGGAATAACTATTGCTGAGGATCACTAGTATAACACAGATCAGCTGCTCTCCCCACACTTTTTAGCAAGAGCTACATGGATTTTAATCAAAAGATATATATATACGAAAACTAAAGCTTCAGGGCTGTTTGCTCCAACCAGTTGATTTTTATAGAATCCCATAGGTGCCACATGGCATCATTTGGTTATCTACCAGCTCTCCTTATCTGTCGAGGAGGCCATAAGCCAGGTGTAAGCAGTAACACAAATTTGCTTGAGCTCCTATTCTTGATCCTTGAGCTGCCATTCTTCACCATGCAGCCTGGCAGAAACTCCTAGCTGCTGCAGCAATTAAAACTGCTCAGCACTTGAGCACAAGCCCACCACAGTGTTTCCTTCTCACCACCAGCATCATCGGGCATGTGCCCATCAGCTGGAGATGAGGTTGGTCCCCACTGCATCATTGGGAATTGGCAGAGATGTCTGAGTGTTCTGGGATCACAAAGGGCTGCGTGGGATGCTGAGGAGTGCAGACGGGGCTAAAGGCAGATGAATGTGCAGTTTTGACTCAACACTGAGCTGATGAGTTTTTCCTAAGTCTTTTGTAAGTCTTCTCACTACAAAACTCATCAAAATGTTGAACATCTAAGGAGGCCATTTCTCCTTTTCAGCGCCTCCAACCCAGTTATGTTTTAAGTAACCCTTCCTGGTCTCAACCTTTCTCTGCTATCTGAAGCACAAGGGTTCCTTCTTTTCCACCTGTTCCCATACCAGCTGATCTATTGCTGTGCTCAGGTACGAATGTGCAGCAGGACAGATCTGTTGTCCCTTGCATTCTTTCATGAAATTCTCCTGGTTCCCAAGAGGAATCCTTTACATTTCAAGTTTCTATCTTGCTGACCCTGACCTATGCCTTTCCCCCAGCATTTCAGATTTGATGGACCCTTTTCATTTTTAAATATAACACTTAAAATACAAGACAATATGACTTTTTACTGTGAGAAAGAGATGAAATTCCTACACTCTTCTGCAATCTTCTCAGCACTTACTCTTCACAGACCGTCCTCACCCCTCTCTCAGTACTTCTACAAAGGGCCAATCCCACTGCCCACTTTGCTAACAATGTCTGTTTGAATCTGTTGAACAGAAAGACAGGCGAAAGTTCTTATTGGAGTGGCCTGGAGCCTCTCTTTCCTGTTTTCCATACCGACTCTGATAATTTTTGGGAAACGACAGCTCTCCAACGGGGAAGTGCAGTGCTGGGCTCTGTGGCCGGATGATTCCTACTGGATCCCCTACATGACGGTGGTTGCTTTCCTTGTGTACTTCATTCCTCTGATCATTATCAGGTAAGCCTGCCATTGGAAGTGCATGGGGAAAGCTGTCAAGCCTGCAATCAGCTCAATGCTTTAATTTCAGTCACTCATTATGGTTTCATTTCCACACCTGTCTCACAGTGGCTTTGATTCATATTGCACAGCACACGGGTCGCTGTGCTTGCCTTGCAGTGCTCTCCATGCAGTAATAGGCAGGAACATTATTTCTGAACAAGGAGTGCATCTCTAAGTGTGTCCACTTATCTCTGCAGCCTCAGGCTTTAAATAGACCTTTATAAATGCAATACGAATGTTTAGCTTATATGATAAAACGTGAATTTAATAAAAGAACAGACAATACACTTAGCGCTAATTAAACTAAAATTAATTTTAAGTGCTCTCAAGCTTCACAGTATTTGAGGAGTGCTTCTTCATCAGGGTCAAAAAGAAATTCCCAATTGTTTGAAGCTGTCAAGCACTTCCAAAATATGGAAAAAAAAAAAAAAACCCCACACTGCAAAGGAAAATTTGTACTGCAAGTATTTCAGGTTGATTTGCTTGAGATCACAAAGCTGGTCCACAATAAAATCTGCTATTAAATGGAGCTCAGCAGAAAGAATAAACATAAATAGTCAGAAATAATTCACTTTGCAATAGAGATTATCTCAGAGAATACTGAGCCTGGCTACTGTTTCTGGGGGAGATTTGTTTTGAATTTTTTGAATAGTTAGCAATTAGGAAATTCTATCCAGCACCTTAACTGGGGAGAGGCCTTATCCTGTCAACTTATCGATCACACAGGTGTGTAAAACCTCCCCTTCACACTCAAATTTACACATCTGCACACTTTCTAGGACAGATCAGCCACTCCTTTTTGCACGGAATATGTATAGGTTTACAAACAACAGAAAAAAAACACACAGAAAGTCTTTTCCAGTTTTCTGACATTATGTTTCCCCTCCTCCCTGTCAAAACTATGTGACTTGACTTACAGCAAATCCCCAGAAGCAAGAAGGCAGTGAAAACAGGAGGGAATAGGGAAAGGCGGTGAAGGCAGCATTTCATGAGATTGCCCTGACAGCTGAGAGATGAATAAAACATCCTCAAATTTCCGTGGCTTTAACCTTAAGTGACTTTCACAGGAAAAGTTTATGCCAGGCCAGGAACTTAAAACCGTGGCCAGTTTCTCATCTCAGGGTACCTCCTGCAAGTGCTCCCACCTCCTCTTCAGCAGGAAGACAGATTTTGGACAGGTGCAAAGTGGTGGCAGGCACATGGAGGAGGGAGGTGGGTGGATCATGGAAGGGTGAGTAAGGACCATTTGTTAGTTTATGGCCATTTATCAGCTGGCAGCCCTACCCATGGAGTTGGAGCTCAGTGATGTTTAAGGTCCCTTCCAACCAGAGCCACTCTATGATTCTATTTTCTTTATAGCAGAGAGGAATGTCTATAGCCACAGATAAAGATTAGCATTAGAGCAAAATCAGAAGACACACTGAACAAATACCACGTGCTTTGAAAACAACTGTCTATTTTTTTGAACCATGTTTTCGAGTTTTGGATTCTCAAGTACACATCTGAAGGTTGCAGCATCCCATCTGACACAGCTGCCAGACCTCTGTCAACGCAGCCTCGAGGCGCAGCACCTATTTCTTTAACACTTCTTGGCAGTCCAGGAGGTTGAATCTAACCTACCTCATGTGGCTGCAGCATATAAATAGGCAGTTTGCAGCTAAGGAGCACCAGGAATGGCCATTAATTTCTGCAGGGATTCTATTTCCCTTCAAAAGACATGTCCCACTAAGTCCCTATGGGCATTCTGTAGGACTGGTGAGACACTGTTCCAGAAGGGTGAGTGAGGAGAGATGCAATGTCTGGATGTAACTGGTGTGTGACATTCTGTTGAAAGATTAATTATAAAAATGAGAGGTTTTATTTAGTCAAGGAGGTAAGGTATTCTGTGGTTTCTGATTTTAGTGGCTTTTAGGTGAAGGTGTTCCAAAAAAAGACCATCACTTCACAATGGGGAGACAATACATAAATGTGCAACTGGAAACTCAAGCAGTAGTATCGATGAAGAAGATTTATTTGTATTAAATTCTTATGTGAAGTGAATGCTTATACGAAATACAAATTTAATATGAATAAAGCAGCAGATGGGATGCATACCACGGTCACCAAGGAAGCCAAGCCTTACAGTGCAGGCAGCACATAGATTAAGACTAAGACCTTTCCTGCAATAACTCATTTTGCTCGTGCAGCTTCTTTATTTTCTCCTCCGAAGCACTCCAACCTAACTGCATGGTGGGTGCCCAAAGCAATGTGGGATGCTGCCTGAATCAACTCTTAATTTGTTCTGCCACCTGCATCTGCAGGAAGCCTCACATCCAGAGCAAAGCACTTCACCTAGGAAAGCACTTTTTCTGGCACGGTTCATCCAAAGTTCATGCGAAGAATAAAATCTTACTTTTCAGGTGCAGAATTTAATTCTGCTCTGATCTGCCACTCTGGCTGCAAAGTTTTCAGTTGCTACAATCCACGTACCATCGTCTTTACGTTTCTGTCATCCATCCTCCAGCACTCAGAGCTGATTTCACATGTTCCCAACACAGCCTACAAGTAACTCAAGCGAGATGCATCGTCCATAGAACCACAGCACAAATGATGTGTAATTCAGCTGATAACCCTTACAGTCAGCCTGGGAAGCCCTTCCTTTGGTGAGCAAACTCTTTGGAAACCAGGCCAAAACATGTATATAGTCTACTCTTCAATTTTGTTAACGTCTACATAAAAAGGCAACCTATGAACGAAACCACAAAAGATTTCAATACTAGTGAGGTGTGTTTCCACTGCCACTTTGCACAAACAGTGAATTTTTTACCCAATTGTAATACGAATGAATCCAAAATATCAGAATGAGAATGAAAGCTCTGATTAGATCTTTAATCTAAGTGCTGGTTATCTTTGAGAGCTGAGGAAGTGAAAGAAGATCTGTTGTTTTCTTTTTAAAGCTCCCCCCTCCTCTTTCCCTGTGCTGGTCAGGGAGATGTAAGTATCCTGCATCACATCCCATTCTTCATTGCAGCACTTGAAGGTTTTGGCCTGTTCTTTCTTCTCATTTGGGCTGCACTACCACTTTTTCTGCAGCTGATATTGTTAACCAAACACCAAAGAGCACAGAAAAAAGGAAAAGGGAATCTGCCTGATTCATTCTTCCAGGACAAGAGCCCACAGCCACAACAAAAGCCATTTCAGCTACACTGAATAAAGCCAAGTAAATCCCTGAATGCTACCTGTGATAGGTGAAGATACTTTGGGGCATTGCGAACACAGGCTAAACAGGGGCCAGATCAAGATTACAGCTGTTCCTCCTGCAAGTATTTGCACTTGACCTCTCGGGTCCTGTGATGGGGAGACATGAAAGCTACTGGTTTTCTGTTCTGCATTGTTACTCTGTGCCACACCATAATTGAGTTCTACCAGCTGGATATCCAGAAATTTGGAATTCATCAAGTTTTGTTCTTTTTAGCTGTTCTTCAAGACTGTCAGACGCATTTTCTCTGTTTTAACCTGATAAATACAACACATAAACACTCATCTAATATAATTCCAAATACAAGTTTAAAAAAAAAAAAAAGCAAAAGTTCTTCTTGAGGTACAGAGGGAAAAAAACAGTCCATCTGTTGTTTAAAATCAGAATTCCAAAGAGAACATTTGCTGTTGAGCAACAAAAAAACGGTCAGAAGTGAAAAACAACCCGGAATCAGCTAAAAGGAAAATGTATTGAACTAGAATTAAAGCACTGCAATGAAATGATGAGTAGGTGAATTATCAGAATTAAACCAAATAAAATGAAAAAAAAAAAAACGGTATTAATAAAAATCTCAAAAATCTGATTTTGAGTTTGATTCAAACAGGACAATCATTTTTTTGCCTGCGATTTCCATTTCAAAGGAAGAAATTCTAGACCTTGTATTACGTTCTACTATCTGCCTGTCTATTCACTTATTATGTATGCCTACATTCGTCTGGATGAAGTTACATACACTTTTTGTCTTTGGATAAACAATGCTGCAAATCAGCCACCACAAAACATAGTACAGCTGCACCCCTCTGCACAAATACAGTATGAGAAACAATAGGCAATGCTGGAGGATAAATACAAGCAATTAACAGGGAGGTCATTTTGTTAGTAAATACTGAGCCCAGGTGAGATGCTAACATAATCATTTATTTGAAAACAAAAAAGTAATTCCCATTCTTGATGATTTGGCATTTTTGGGATGTTATTACCAATACCTAGCTTTACCAAAAGACATTTTATTTTCCAAAACAAAAGTGATGTAGGAACTACCTTAAGTTGGTTATTCACAAGGACAAAGGCTGCCAAAATTACCAATGAAGTCAAATTAACCAACACCATTAACTAATAACATGCTACAATGAATGTGCATCTTAGTTCTTCAGAATCTGGATCAATCTAAATTGCTTTTGGAGGTGCAGTGAATTTAATTTGCTGAGTTACATCCCTAGACTAAATTATGTTCTTGCAATTTCCTGACACTTCTACACATATGCATCTCCTTGGGGCTACAAAAAAAGAATCATTGCATTTTCATATGAACAGCATATCCACTTTATCCTATGGTCTTCATCACAGCCTGAGTGGCTCCTTCTGAAAAAAAGTTTTTATTCTTTTTCCATCTAGACTTTCCACTACATCTGATCTCTTCTTTCCTTTCAATAAGTCCCTTCCTTGTAAATAATGAGCCACAGCAACTCATATAATATTTCATTATGATAGCATGCATTACTACTATAGCACGTTTACACGGCATCCAAAAGTCACAGTCAGGGTTGCAAGACTAATACACTAAGTACATTCAGGCAAAGAAATCCAACAGCATCTGGACTTCCCATCCATCTGTACACCAGCTCCTGTTTGTCCCTCTCGACTCTTTGCTCATCTGCCACTTCATTTACCATCAAGTGCGAATCTATTCCCATTCTTTAAGACTTCACTAGAAAGCAAGTGAAGAGCCTGGGTTCATAATTCAATAGCAGAGGCATTTGGATGGAAAGATGGAAACTGAGTACTCGAAGCTCCTTCACTGTGATACTTGAGCAACTCTGCATTTGTTCTTCTGGGCACACAGACAGATCTGCATCAAAGGGGGTACTGTTCTAATGGCAAATAAAGAAGGTCAGGCTAGAGACAGCAGGCTGGAGATGAAATAGAGACAGGTCTTGCAGGAGCTGGCTGAAGTTTTCTCATGATAACAAACGTCATCATCATAATACATTCTGATTCACTGAAACAATCAAAGGAGAAATGATGCATGAATTTTCAACCTTTGTCAGAGCAAAGTACACAGAAACTCTCAAATGAACCAGCTGATAAATAAACAGGCTCTTGAAAAGCCAGGAGATAAAAGGAAAACGTTTGAGTCAGCTGGGAGCCTTGCTGGACCTTTGAAGGGATTAAGGAGGGCAAGCTGGCATCTGTAGAAGAGGCATGCAAAATCCTTGCTGGGTGAGAACAGTGCTGCTCTGCTGCACAACCTGGTCTGTGTGTTGAATTCCCAGCTCTCACCTTCTCATCCTGGGAACCAAATCTCTCAAACCTGTACAGAAAAGATACCTACAGGATGCACAAATACTGCCTTTGCAAGCAGGATGGCTAGGAGCTGAGGTGCTATAGGAAAGGCTTGTGTATCAGTCTGAAAGCTCTTGTAATAACAATGTCTCTTCTGATAACAAAAATAATCTGCATGATAACAAGACCCCTTTTTGGTCTCCATAACACACCCTGAAATAATTTTCATAGCTGCAGCTTTTTCACAGACATGTTCACAGGCTCACTACTAATGATCAAGCTGCCCCAGGATCATCAAAGCTCTGTAGTTTTGCAAATAGCACACAGCAAATCCTGCTGTGATGCTTGATTTTTAGGAAAACATAACAGCTCAAATGCATTAGCTAAAATATTCTCAAGTCATTTTTATCTCCCTCAGCAAACAAAAGGGGAAGTCACCAGTCCAAAGCATGCTGTTGCTTGCTGATTTTAGCTGTATGTTATCCACTCTCTGGAGGAAGAGGAAGCCAGAGCAAGGCCTTGTGTGTCGTTTTTTTCAGCTGCTGCAAACATGAGATCAGAGGAGGGCCACTAAGATGATCAGAGGGCTGGAGCACCTCTCCTATGAAAAAGGTTGAGGGACTGGGGGAACAGCTGTTTGTGAGGGTGGATAGTGATAGGATAAGGGGGAATGGTTTTAAACTGAGACAGGGGAGGTTTAGGTTGGATATTGGGAGGAAGTTTTTCACCCAGAAGGTGGTGAGGCACTGGAACAGGTTGCCCAAGGAGGCTGTGGATGCCCCATCCCTGCAGGCATTCAAGGCCAGGCTGGATGTGGCTCTGGGCAGCCTGGGCTGCTGGTTGGTGACCCTGCACATAGCAGGGGGTTGGAACTGGATGAGCAGTGTGGTCCTTTTCAATGCAGGCCATTCTATGATAACATCTTCATCCAAGATGTGTGTTCAGACATCTCTTCAGCTGAGAGGAATTATTTTCACTCATTCTGTGTCAAATAAATAGAATCCCACAGTTGTTATCACCTAGGCAAAAGCTGTAACTACCCAAGGTTACTGTGCACTTTTCATCTTTGCTATCAAAGATACAGGCATATTCCTTTCTAAATATGCAAACTGCAACAAATCTGGTTTTGAGTCACCTAATTCTTCCAATCTACCTAACACTTCTGATTAAATTCCCAGGACCTCAAGAGCTGAGAGTGAGCACTGAGGTACATTATGTTTTCATGGATTGTGCCCCCATTCTCTTCCCTGGGTTACCATTTTATTTGTCAGCTTTATATTCTCAAAGTAACACCAAAACAGAGCCAGACATACAGCTGAAACTGTTCCTTCTTCTTGCTTCCCTCATTTCAGAACAAATTTCCTCCTTGCAGCTCCCACATTAAGCACTCACAAGCACATCCCAGTGCAGGATGATGCGCCTCCTGCCAGGATCTGGTAATCAGACAGTTTTGGCCTCAGACAGCTCAAAATCCCCAACAAGCTCTTACCTAGGAGAGGCTGGCCAAACCATGTCACTGCTTCTAACTTCAAAGCTGACATCTGAGAAGCCTGGACAGTGGTAACAAACTTCAATGTGAAAAATCTTTGGGGCGCTCCTGGAAATATTTTGGTAGAGTCATATGTAATTTACTATTTCTATTATTACTACTATCATTTTTATGAAGTTCTGCCATCTCCCTGGGCTTCTTACACACAGACAAGTATATTCACAGAGAACGAATGACTGAGATGTCAGTTACATTTACTATGCCTCACAGTATCAATGACTCTTTCCCTTCTGCAGTGTCATTTACTCAATCGTGATTCGAACCATCTGGATGAAGAGCAAAGCTCAGGCTGTCATTATATCCAGCTGCACTGGTGAGTGTCAGCACACACGTGTCTCCAGACACAGGATTCAGATCTGGGGAGCCACATCAAATCTGGGAATGCCCACGTATGTGGTGTTGAGTTGGGACCCCATCACTGTGGTGGGAATGGGTTATCTGCCACTGCTCCTTCATAACTGTTCCACACTGTTTTCCTTCTTTCCTTTGATATTAAGTACCCTTTTGAGAAACGAATAGAAAACATCTACAAGAAAAGAATTCAAAAGTAAAAATCCTTACTCTAGAACTCAGAATCTTTAATTCAAGAATTTTGTTCACATCTAGAATGGTTTGTTTTCTAGCAGTCACTTAGATAAAAATTTCAGTGCTTTCCAGTGCCCATGGGAAGTTTGAATTTTGGTAAAATTCAAAACAAACGTCATTCTTCTCACTCAAGAAGTAGATTCTGCACTAAAAACCAAGTAATTCTCAGTACTATTAGGAATGGACTATTTTCAAGCTTCTCTATGGAATATTTCACTGATAACAAGCTCTCATTAATTTTATTTATATTTTTTCCTCACAGATTACATAGCCTGGATATGTTGTTTTTCTAAGAGGTGCAAAAAGTCATGTACACATAGTTATTTCCAATGACATTCATTAAAATTCAATTTCTCAGCTCGGATTTCAAGAGTTGAAAGATGTTTTGATTAAAAAATGACCTTCTTGTATGTTCACTATGATGAACCTAATTATTCTCACAGGGCAACATGAACAGCAAATTGTCATGAATAATGAAATCAAGCATATTATTACAATCATGCTGGTACTGCCATTGAAATATGGAGATCGGTTCTCAGAGACATTAGTGTGACTTCAGAGGAAATGAGATCAACCAGCCTTAGTGTGAAACTGAATAGACTTTGCTTCTCAATTCAAGCCACATTTCATTTCTGAAAAGCTACTGTAACTGCATTTCTTCTTTTATTACTGAGTCCAACCAAAGAGCAAAATGCACAGCTGTATCTAAAGAATCAAAAAGAGTAAGAGGTTAAAGGAATGGAATATGTAGCTTTCAAAACCCATCTAATTGAAATGCAGATAAAAACTGAACAGGTAGTCTGTTTTGGCAGGTTATATCCTGCGTTGTTTGTTTTTTTTTAATTACAGCTGCCAGATCCTTTCGGAAAACATCTCTTCTAACACCACTCCAGTTGTGTTTTTGAAGCTGTGATGGCCAACAGGTTTTGCTAAGCTGATATTGTTGGGCATATCTGCAATGTTTCTCCTGCCTACAATCCCAAGTGTGGAGAATCAGGGATATGCAGCTGCTACAGTGCTTCAGAAAGATCTCCTATGCATATATTTCCACTTTTGATTTTAGAAGGCTCAGGTTTTGAGTGCCTAATTCAATACTAATGCTAGTATGTGAATTTCAGGAAATGCATACACCAGCCCTGCTCTTTCACTGCTTCTACTCTTCTGTCCCCAGATGGCAGAACCTCTGCTGGCTACACCAGTCGTGGGTTCATATCCAGAGCTAAAGTGAAAGCCATCAAGTACAGCATTGTAATTGTTCTTGGTAAGTATGGGAAAAAAAAAAAGCCTGCAGCTGGGGCAGATGCTGAAGTTAGGGATCTCCCTTCATCACCAGCAAATAAAATGCATGAGGTGGTCCAGCGGAGGAGTTTTACTCAGACATCTGACTTGCCTTCTGACCTTGTCTCTGCCCTCCTATGACTGACAGGATCCTATTTTAGGCACCTGATGTATGCAGTGATATACACAGCCCTCCTGCACAGAAAGGAAGTAAAGGAGGACACTGCCTAAAAGAAACCAAGGAGGAGCTCACTTCCTCCTAATCCAGGCTGCTGAAAGACCTGGCAAATGAGTTGTCTTTTAGGTTTAGAGAATACAAGCTGCTTCATCAGGACAGGAACAGGAAGGAGAGGAAAGGAAGGCAGAGCAATTGAATTTGATGTCAGAAGCACGTTGCCTGCAGAGGTGGGGAGAACAAGCTCTCCTCTCCCAGCCAGGATGCAGATGACTCAGTGCAGGTGTCCTCCGTCTCCCAGGGAGATGACATTATCCTGATGGAATTAGGAGGCTGACATTTAATCTCGATAAATAAAGGCAGCATCACACACAGCACTTGTGATTAGCTGACGGAGACAGACAGGGAGGTATCAGAAGCTATTTACTCCCCAGGGCACTGCAAGAGAGATCACTCCTATTCCTAGTCCTACACAAAACTCAGATTGATTGATACTGTGATAATAGCTACTACTCGAGGTGCTTAGTTCACTGGTTAGCTGTAGTGTCCTTGGACATGAGAGATGCTGCTGTGATACATGGCTATCAGAAATCCAAGAACACCTTCTCTGCATCTGAACTTATCTGTATGGCCATCAGAGAAAGACTGTGCAAGAAACAGTCACTACCATGATGCCTCCAGATGGCAAGAGCTCATCTAGGTGCTCAGTATTTCAGAGGACCTTGATGCTATCAGGCACCCAGCATCTCTCACTGTGCGAGAAAGTGAAGGCACATAATGCTCATGGATTTCCCTAAATCCACCTATAGTGGGGGATCTGCAGCCAGTGCTATGACCCACACCCTGACAGGGCACACTGTTTTTACTATAGCCCTGTGTGTGGACACTACTGGGTTGGTTACTCCAGAAAACAGGAGAGCTTACTTCTTCCTTGCACATTCGCTAAGCACCCAGCCCTGTGCCCAGCACATTGGCAATCCAGGTGCCTCTAATGCAGCTGAGGGAACTGCCTGCCTCAGCATGCTCAACACTCTTTGTGAGAGCAGTTGACATCGGCATTTGTGAGACAAATTATTCCTGTATGCCTGGAAATAAAGCAAAACCCATGGCCTGTTTTTTTCACCACCTCTGAACAAAAGCTACGAATGACGCAGCCCTCTCAGACCTGTTTCTCCAATAGCAGTAGGGCAGTCATAGAGTCTCCCTGCATTCCCTTATACTACATGGCACCTCCAACCAGCATGCAAAGTGGAATGTCAGCCTGCTGTAATTTAGAGTGAAAGTGTCATTCCTTGCTTCTGGGTGCCTAAGAGCCTTTTCTTAATAGGTGGCTGTGATAGGCAGGGCTGTCACAAAGCAGCACTTTGGTGCTGTCTGCATTTAGACTGGCTGCTCACTCAGGGGACCATTAAAAGAGCGCTTCTCTGTAAGTGATGATGCTCTAACTGGCTACCTATTTACCCTTTATGTGTGTGCAGCGTACAGAAGTGCCTCAATACATCTAGAGGGAGCACTCTAAACACTTAAAGGAGCACACATAATGTATTTTATGGGCATTAAAATAAAAATGAAGACAAATAAAAACACAATTTAATAACTATCCTCTTAAATAAGACCCTGCATAGGGAGCAATTTTTCTTGCATGAACAAATACTTATGTGTTATGACAGTCTCTATTTGTGCGTATGTGATTAACTCCCTAAATAACTATACTGTCTAATGTCAAACTCTTCTGTCTCTCCTGCAGCATTCGCTCTCTGTTGGAGCCCCTACTTTCTGTTTGATATCCTGGACAACTTCAACATCCTTCCCGAGACCAAAGAGCGCTTCTATGCATCCGTGATAATTCAAAACCTGCCAGCCTTGAACAGTGCCATCAATCCCCTCATCTACTGCCTCTTCAGCAACCACCTCTGCACCCCCTTTGAGTACTGTCCCCGTACTCACACCCTGTCTATCCCCACAAGAGGGGAGAGAGAAGCACAGGTGCTGAACTCATCCCCTATTTTCACCTGTTTTAATCCTGACCATTGCTTATTTTCCTTAGGGAGAGAAGAACACGAAGGTTGGAGGGGACTTTCCGGGACCGGAGTGATGGAGGGCAGGAGATGCAGGTCCTGTCCAAACCAGAATACATCTAGCACAGGTAATCCCCTCAGAACCACAACAGGACCCATGCTGAGGACAGCAGAGGTTTCCCAAAGTAGAAGACAGACACCAAGCATGAACTGACTGGACTACACCTGTGCCTTGCTGCTGTTGAACAGCACAAGCACTTGAGAGCAGCACTGCACCTTCAGCTACCACACTCTGCCAGGACCAAGCCAGCCACAAAGGGTTTGCATGCTACTTTTGTGACGGCTCATTTTAGCCATCTGTTTTCAAGCAAGCTGTAACATATCTGTACTCCAAATGGCAAAAAGCAATGTAAACAGTATCTAGTCAAAGCCTTCTCTCTGTTCTTCAAGAGTCTCTGGAAGCCATCCAGTACCATGCAGCTCATAGAGCTGGTGAAGTGTTTACAAGTAGTTACAGGAGGGCGCCCTGCTTAAAATGAACCCAGGAACGTTTCGAATGAGAATACACCACTGCCACTCTAAGTTTGTGTCCTGGCTTCACGTGCAACCACTGACAATGCCCTAACAGAAAGGAGGGGATGGTAGGGATGGATGGCCATCCCCCTATACACACCATCTGTGTAGTTCATCCTCCCATTCCCTTGCAGAACTTCCCTGCTGTTTTATCTCGGCTCCCCTACCTTTACTTGCCATGAAAAATACGGGCGATAATTCTCTTCTGGACTACTGTATAATAAGATGTGAGCTAGCCCATCTCAAATCCCATCGTTCCACAACTGCTCTGCTGCTCACATCCCTGTGACAAAAGCCTCAAGCAGCCTTTGGAGGATTCTGCACTCATGCCACATAAGTACACTTGCCATACAGGACACTCCAGCAGTGCAGATCAATCTTGCCATAACAGAGGTATTTCTCCCTGTCTACATAAGAGATATATCTAGAGGTATTTCCCTCCCTGCCTAATTTTTTAATGTCACTTAAATCATAGAGGGAACCATATACATCTTTAGAGACATTCAAAGCTAGAGTGCCAGAGCACCAGCTACCAGGCAGAGCTTTGTGGCACAGTACCCTGAGCTACTAGACATTCCCTCCCTCAAACCCTTGGGTTTGAATACAAACGTTCTCAATGTTGTTTTAGCAACTGGGTGAAGGATATGAACGTCAGTGCTTATTTTACCCTAAGTCAGCTTAAATTGTTTGCATGATAATGTGCTCTAACCAGCTGCACGGCATGTTTTCGCTTCTCCCTGTGCAAAATTTGCATCCTTATACGAGTCTGTTTAAACAGTTTTGTTTTTTTTTTTTTTTATGATGATCCTTCACACTGAGTTTATTCCCTGTGAAACAAGAACTGAATAAAATGTATTTAATTACCTATGTTACAAAAATCTTTTTTCCTAAGCAGAGGATATATAAAATCACGTGGCTTTATGTTCTCAGGAAAATGAGTAGGGTTTCTCTTTTTATTATTATGAAGTTCTGTCGAGTATAAATTTTGGTGTTAAAACCAGCTTAATTAAAACCATGAATCCACACCACCCTTTGCAGCCCCTACCTTGGATAGACTGTCTATAAGAACCAGATAATTTTTTTTTTTGTAGGCATCTCATAACATTTCCAGAAGCAGACTGCTTGGTTTAATCTTCATAATGATGTTGGGGTTTTTTTTCCCACTATTTTTCATCTGATACAATTACACTGGTTGCCTACTTTTGAACATTCAATGCAATTTGTAGACTTAATACCTGGAAATCAGATACATTTTTTTATTAGTATTTTGGTTTGCAAACTTACATGCCTCAGTCACCCCCTCCAGAATGTATATATTTGGTCAGCATATGAATTAGCCCACCAAAATTAAACATGTTCATCAATAAATGTAGGAATCCAGCCTGGAATGAAGTCATGACTCACTCAGTTTTCAAAGAGATGGTATCTTTCAACCATTACTGTGTCAGGTGCCATTTATATGTTGTTCCTGTCATTTTGTCTGTGGACCCAACTACAATTCCCTCCTTCACATTGAGACATTTCTCTTTAAATACCCTCACATCACTTGTGTCTGCATCCCTTCCAAGCATGTATTCAGAGATTATTTTTCTGATTTTCTTCCTGCTTCCTTCCTTGCCTGTAGCACAGGCAAGTTTGCTAAGCTTTTATGTTCTCTCTTTTTTTTTGTTGTTGGAAGATAGCGTGCATTGTATTTAAAAACTGAAAAAATAACTGATTTTTGCCATTAGTCCACAAAATATGTTCACGGTCCTTTGTCTCATGAGTGAATAATTTGGGGGGGTTTCATTTAACTCTGGAGGATTTCTCATTTCACATCCACTACCCTATCTTTGCCTGTTGATTTAATTGTGATGCAATTGTTAGGAAAGATCCCAGACTAATCAGGAGAGGTAACAAAAGGCAACGTCAAGGTCCAAGTGCCAAGAGACAGCCTGGAACAACAGAATGTGGCACTCAGTTGGGTTGTTGCCTGGGACAGTCTGTGAGTCGTGTTTTGCATTTCTCTAACACTTGAAGATCCATTTGAGAGATCCTTCTGACATGCCCACAGTGACCATAAATGTCAGCAGGCATGCCTGTTGGGATATAGAATACCCCATGTTTATGAAGTCCTTTGTGATCAAAGATTGCTAGGAATCATGAAAATATTTAACCCTCGGACAGGTCACATCAAACAGCCTAAAACTAGTATAGCTTTCAAACTAATAAGTAATCCAAGCAAATAAGAAATACGTGTTTCCCACGACAGGCACAAAGAAAATATGAATGAGAAAGCTATTCAACTTTCATTCATTTACTGATGCAGTTTAAAATTAAATTCTCAGTCCAGATTTCCATCTGTTGTGAAAAAGTGTAAAGTGGTATTTTGTCCATATTGTTGTTTTAGTCCTTGAAAACTCCATTCACATTTTTATTTTTAATTTGAAAAAAAAAAGCTAGGAAATTTAAGATCCAAACCACTGGGTAGGTATAATCTAGTAATGGAATACAATATTCCACACTGAAATTATGGAAGAATAACGAAGTGAAAGCCTACCCTGAAGCATTTCACATCCTCCTGCATGCTTCTGGCTGAGATCTTAGAGGCACAGATGTTACCAGCCAAGAAGAACGGTGGGCAGTGGTTAATCAAGAAAAATGTGGCTGATGGAGCCAGACTCTGTGCAGATTTCAAGGATCTGAACACATAAGGTTCCCATATGCCTTTCACTGAATCAACCCATGCACCACACGACCAGAAGGCATACGCTCACCTCTGCCACAATTTATGCCCTTGGGAAAAAAGAGTACAGGCACCTCCTATCCTTATTCCCACCTGCTTTCAGGATAGGAGACACAGAACATTTGGTGGCGGTTGCTTTGCAGGGTTCCCAGGAGGGCTAACATTTCTCTTTTCTGCCATTTTTGTTGTTTTTTTTTTTTTAAACATAATGCTACAGCACTCCATTTTTATATGGGCAAATGGATTCTGTAGTCCCTGCAGACAATCTTAATTTTTCTGAAACATATCACCTTTGGGAAGGGGTAGATGCACACAGGGTACCGTGCACTACAGCTGCTCAGTGCATTTCTTTAGGAAAGAGATGATTTCCTGGAATAAAATTCCACTCCAAATCTCTGCCTCTGAGATTCATGTATTTTCTATATGCTTGTCTTTTTTTTTTTTTTTTCCTTTACAGCTATATTTCACAGGAAAAAAAAGATCTTGTCCTATGACACAAAATGGTCCATCTCCCACAGAACAAGAATTTTACAAGATTCACATGGAAAGCATAAATGAGTGAAGGTCCCTACTCTACAAGTCACCTAGACATCTAAATATGAATTGTTTAATGGAAATCAGGCGCATTGCTATAGAAACAGGCTTACAAAATATGGTTTTATAGTCCTGGATATTGCAAGCATCTGACCCATACGGGTTGGAGTCCCTAAGAAGGTCACATAAGCAGAAGTACACGTGAAACTAGTACTTATTTTAGTTCAAACTCTAGTACTTAAATACAAGAAGGTTTTATGGTTGTTAGGACCTCATGTTTTCATCACACTACAAGACATCATAGGAAAACAGCAAAATCCTTTCTCAAACCAAAGGCCTCTATTTAAAGCATAGGAACAAATGGCTCAATAAAAGATCATTCTTAACACAACTTCAGCAGAGAATTTCTGAGGAGGAGTGCTCTGGGGCAACACCAACCAGAGATTCCTGAGAATAGTCTCTTGGCATTCTCTGAACAGAGAAGACACTTGCTGGCAAGATGCCTCAAGTTACGAGTACCTTCAGCAATTCCTACCTGTGCTGTTTGTACAGATTTGTTTCACACAATAACCCAGAAGGCATAACACTACCTGCCACTTCACCTTACCCGACACAAGGACTGCATGTACTCTTGAGGAGTACTTGATGAAAACAGATGAACTACAACAGGAATTGCAGAAAGCACAGGTAAAAAAAAGGGATATGTATTGTTGGCATGTCTTTTTTCCCTCAGTGAGAAATAATTCCATGATAAAAATAAGCTACAGTAGAATCTATCAGACTCCACCTTCCAACCAAGAGCCCAGAGCTTACAGAGTTTTCCATTTATTCATCAACCTTCAGAAAAATGATTGATTTGGGGAGTAGATGCAATTTTTACTGTAAGGTAACGTGCGTTTCATTTTCTTTAGCAAACTGCAATTTATTTTACACAGCATTCAATTTAGATAAGCATTAGAGCTGAATGGTTCATCAGATAATCTTTTGTCATGTTTGATGGCATCTTATTCTGAGTACGCATAAAATATTGAGTAGAGGGTTAGACATACAAACACAGGCATGGTTTACAAATAGGCATTGCTGGTTCCTTATACTGAGTTGCTTGTAGTGGTACATAATTAGAAGCCTACCTGTTAATTTAGACTCAAGTGAGACAAATGCAAATGGACTAAAATTCAGCAGCTTTAATGAATTCAATAAAAAAGGACAGTCTAAGGTTTCTCATATAAAGAGCTGAATTATCTTTAGAACTATATTAGCAGAAATATGATGATGTACAATACTGTGTGCTAATAATCAGTTACTTCAATCATGAGAAATTCTACTATAAACTGGGAGCTCATCAGCTGGAAATGTCTGAGGAAGAGAAAGTACTGAGAGTATCCAGAGGTCAGATGATGCCTAGCCATTGCCATTGACAACAGCACAGGGTCAGGGGCTAATATGATCCAATGTGTATCTGCTGATGCATTTTTTAGAAGACCTAAGGCTCTGCTAGCATTATCGCGAGCCTTCATTGAGAACATTCTACATAAAGAAAAAGAGACCTGGAACAAAGAAGTCTGAGGTTATAGCTTTTTGGGGCTAGTAAAATGAGAACTTGAAAAGGGGTATTTGTACCAACTGTTAGCACACCAGGAACATTGAATAGGGAAAGGACAGAGAGGAGACAACTACTTAAAATGCGTAATGATTGTGCAACAAATGCCACCCCCTGGAATAATCTTACTGTGAATAAATTTGAATACATTTTAGAGACACAAATCAGCTTGCCCGGCAATATTGCATAGATCAGCAACAAGATTTTGGGAGTAAGAAATGTATCCCATTTTGTGTTATGGCTGTTTATTGAGGTTTAACAACAAAGTACGGCACAATTCTCTGTGCTTTACAGAGAAGGGAAAGGGAAGAAG